TTTGGTTAACGAAGTGGTGGTAGAATTTGGTATTTGCGTCGCCCTGTGAAAGCCATTTGATTTTAGCCTTTTGTTTCCAAAACAACTCTTCCTGTTTTAGGCGGAGAAGGAGGTTAGCCTGAGCTTTGGACCAGGTGGTCCTATTGACCGAGTTTGGGCTCGATAAGAAAACTTCCTCTGTTTGTTGGGCCTCCTTTTCAGCCCGCTTAACTTCCACTAGAATGTCACCAAAGGTGTCTTTGTTCCAGACTTTAAGGGCCTGTTTTGTTTTTTGTAATTTGTTATAGAAATTCCTCATCCCCCCTCCGTGATGTGAGGTATTCCAGCTCATGGAGACAGTGTCAAGGAAGGAGTGATGGGTAGTCCACATGTTCTGAAAGCGGTAGGATTTTGGGCCATAGAAGCTTGTCGTGTTGCAGGATAAAATCATAGGTGTGTGGTCAGAAGATGCTCTGGCCAGATGATGCTCAATAATTGAATCAAAATGATTTGAGAAGGAGTCATTTGCCAGGAATCTATCTAGCCTCCGCCATAATCTTCCAGTGGATCGGACCCCTGTCCATGTGAACTTGGTCCCAATAAATTGAATTTCATTGAAGTTACAGTAGTCTATGCACTCAACGAAGTCATTGATTTCTGGTAATTTAGGGAGGGATTTACCGTGGTGGTCGGAGAGAGAACCCACCACATTGAAGTCACCGCCAATGACCCATGGCCTGCTGTGACTGTCTTTCCAAGCACGTAGGTCGTCCCAGAGTCTGTATCTTTCGAGTCTGGAGTGTTTACCGTAAATGGCAGATAGGTAAAAACTAAAACCAGTAGATATTTCTGTGATCTCTGCATGAACAATTTGATCAGTTTCTAACAAACTGTGAAACAGAAAGTGATCATCCTTCCACAAGATCCAGATCTTATTATCGGATTTAGTGTAGACATTAGAGAATCCCAAATGATTTCTGTAGTAATCAGCCGAGGTAATCAAAACCATAGGTTCAATGATAATGATAAGAGAAGCTTTCCACTGAAAAATTAAGTTTTGCAGTCTGCTACAAGAAGATAGAAGACCACATGTGTTCCAATTCAGCACAATCATGAAAGACCGTTCTGAAGCCCCTTGGCTTCTTTGACTGCTTTAGAACGGGTAGAAATCGGGGAAGACAACGGGTTGTAATTTGTTTTTCGAACCTTTTTTGAGGCTGATTTCACAAGAGAGATACCTTCCTCGTTTTGTAAGAGCCTCTGTAGTTTCTTTTCCACTGAGTGTGATACCTTAGTCCAATCCTCCTCTTTGTCATTTGGGGGGTCACCGTCTGAGAGGTTACCATTCTCAATTGTTTCAATTGTTTTAGCTCCAACTTTAAATAGAAGGTCGTCATGGGTACCCTCAAGATGACCGGTGCTCACAGGAGGAATCTGTTCTGAAATCCGCGCTGTGTTTAGGGGGGTTTCCAGAGGGGGATGAGGAATATCTGGTGAGTGTGCTTGGCTTTCAGGGACGGTGGAGTGATTAGAGGAGGGAGAGTGTACTATGTCAGGAAGCGGGGGCGATAAGGTGATGAGGTTGGGAGGGTTTAGGGGTTCCAGCGTGGGGATGGGAGTGGAGGAGGAGGAGGGCAGTGTGTTTGAGAGGGTTTGAGTGTTAATATGGTTGGGGGGTTGGCCATCGGTGTTTGTGGAGGACGGTCCGGGTAGAGCTTTAACAGAGTCAGCTAAAGATTTTTTCCCCTTGTTGCAAGTTAAATGACCTAAAGTGTGACAGTTACCACAATAGTATGGGATAAATTCATAGAAAACCTCTTGCATGAAACCTGAGGAGCCATTCTGGATCCAGAGTGTATATTCCCGTTCTGATGTAACATCCAGCTCTACACAGACTCTGGCCTGGGATGGTTTAGCCAAAGTAGCAGTTGCAGAGTCAACCAATAGGGGCCTTCCAATTAAATTGGCAATTGAAAAGAGAGCATTGATGTCGTGTAAGTGTACAGGCAGACCATAGAGGGTTATCCAGACTGGGACTAGAGGGCATTCAAAACCAGGTTGGAAGGAGGGAGTCCATTTAGTGATTCTCATAGAGTAGCCATTAACGGGCCATGTCTGGTACAGCCAAAATCTGAGGAAGTCCTCTTCCCTTTGAAAGCTAATCAAAACATGTCTGTATGCTAGATGACCAACCGAGAAAGAACCATTGAATCTCAGCTTTTCCATGGAGATGTGAATGTCTCCCAATTTGGGAATGCCGTGAAGGAAAGATCCAACGAGAGCGAAAGGTAGCTTGCCGGAGAGGACAGAGATCTCCTCCGGTGAGAAGGTTACTGATGGTACTCCTTTGAATCTGCCTGGGGCCTTGAGAGCAATTGGTGGGGGGAGGTTCTGAGACAAGACTGTTGGGGTCCCTATAGTCTTGGATCGGAGAGGCTCAATAGTAATCGGTGCCCGCGCTATTGTTCCGCCCAGGACTGCTGCATAACTGCGGGGAGGAGGCTTGGAGGCGGGTTCCAGGGGAGGTTGGGGATTAGAGGTGAGGATTGGTGGTTTAGTGGTGAGGGTTGGTGGTGGCGCTGCGTGTGAAGGTGTAGGGGAGGCTGGAGTTGTTTGTGGCTGATTTGTTTGACCGGTGGCTGCCACGGCAGCCATGGCTGCCCTGGGCGAAGGGGAGGGTTGAGTGTTAGAGAGAGGGTGTGATATGAACACTACTTCTTTTCAAATAAACCCAACTTATATTACACCTTAATTTTGTATATGTATCAATAGATTTAAGTGCTTCAACCAAAGATGCTTTTGTTATAATATATGATATTCATCTGCCAGCAGCACCATCAAACAGAAAACACACTTAAGAGACACAATGAATTCAAATGCCTGTAGAAAAGAAAGTACATCTTTACAACTTATACAAAGTTGTGTGCCCCCACCTTATTGCCATTAATCAACAGGCCCAGCAAACTAAGACTAAAAAGAAGGACAGTGTATATTCCACTAATTCAACATGTGTGGCTTTCCTTATAATGAGTTGCACAACATACTGATCTTCCTTAAATACGGACCTCAACTTCGAAATAATCACCACCTACAATATGAACCCTAGCTATTTCTAGACTCTTTCTGATAAGAGGAATGAAGAATAAAAGTGACACACTTGCTGGCCATAATGCGCAACCATGAAACTTTCTCCCAACTTTCGTTCCTTTTTTAACAATTCTCACAACGGAATTCATGTTGTGATGACATGTCATTCTTGAATTAACCCCTTTGCCTGATTTTGTCGAAGAAGACCCCCCACCATTTGAATTGTTGCTTTCTACAGACATTGATGGTCTGATTAAGTCTAAATTTTAAATCAAGAGGAAGGAGGAAACATGGTAGGTGCGGGGGCTTAGAAAGTGAAAGGAGATGGGAGTGACGATGAATACAGATGAATACAGAGAGAAGAGGTGGTGGATGGTGGAGGCTAATTATTTAAAAACCCTAACCGGTTATTACATTTTAATAACTTTCAACAACCGATAATATAAGCTTGGGACTGCAGGACGAAGACCAGATACAAAGGTTGGATTTATTTGAAATTATCAATAATAGGGACCATTTCTGGAAGACTAGATAAAGTTGTGATTATTAGTATCAAATTTTCCTATGATTAATTAGTCTTATTTCTTATATTAGTGCCATTTGTTGTAAAGGATCCACAAATTGTGTGGCTCATGCGTTAACAATGGTAGCACTTTCTATGTCGAATTGTGGTTATTTATGTGATTATTTCTTTGGCAATCCTCACAATTGTGTTTGAGGCCTTTGGCTAACGAAAATTTAAATATTTTGGTGGTCCCAAGTGAGGTAGAAGTCTAACAGGGTGAATTCCAATATCTTTTGAGAGATATTGAAACATACAACGGAAGTCTTGACCTCAAGAGTGTGTGGCATCATCAAAACTAAATACATTAATCATCAAAATCTAGGGGTCCTAACATATTTAATACTACGTATAGTATATAGTCGGTTCTTTTCTTACAAAAAAATATATATGTTGTATGACTTTCCAAAATACTCCTATCTTATGTTAAATAATATTTTGATATTTGCTTATTGATAAGTCTTTTTTGTGAAAATGAAAAGTTTATTTTAGGAGAAGTTGCATTGGAGAAGTATGGAGGTGTATGTATACCCTTGCATTTCTAAAAGATGCAAAAGTACCCTTAATGTTCCTAGTAAATTTACTCTCATTGACTTTAAATAAATAAAGTAAAGAAATACTCCCTTCGTCCCAAAAAATTGTCCCCAGTTTCCTTTTTGGGTCGTCCCAAAAAATTGTTCAACTTCCCCTTTTGGAAAGTTTTTTGTGGTTACAATTCATTTACCTTTTTCTTACTCAACCACAACCATACATTTCCACTTTATTCCCACTTTCTTAAACTCCATTCCAAGTCAATGCGGGTACAATTTTTTGGGACGGAGGGAGTAACTGCAAATATAAAACTAAAATAAAATTAGTGAACAAAATTGTGATCCTAGCAACTTTAGTTACTATAATTGTATTCAAATGTTACACATAGTGACTATAAAACTTACACATAGTAACTTTTGGTCACATTTGTGTCATTAGATTTTTTATTAGTAACACTTTAGGAAACACCTCATAAATAATTTTTTAAAAAAAATTAAGAATCATAAATATATAGTAAAGTTTGAAAACAATTCTTTATACGAACAATGTTAAATTGTGATATAAAATAACAAGGAGAATTGGACAGAAGTAGATTCTTAAATTGTGATTTTAAATTTAAAATTTAAAATTTATAAATTATTTTTGTTGTTTTTTAAAATTTAATTTATTTGTTTAACATAAATAATGGTAAATTTATTCCTTTATAGGAACATAAGATATACGTACACAGTTCTAATTAGGAAAATGTCAAAATAGTCGTATAATGATCTGGTCAAATTAGGAAAAACACATTTATGACCTTTGTATGCTTCTACAGTTCTACTAATCTTCCACTTCGATAATCTCATTTCACACCTTAATTATTTATGCCCACATACACTAATAAGTCATACGTCGACCGGCCATGAAAGCTTTAGAACGCCTACTAGTGTGTTTCTCCCCCGCCTCCACCGACATATGTCCCAGCACCGCCCATTCGGGTACCGATCGCCGCCGCCGTGTGCACCGCCTTGGCCACCCGCTACCCAAGAGCAGACATAGCACCTCCAAATCTTCGCCGCTAGCTAATCGGCCCTTCGAGTCACGCCGGAAAAGCTCCTCCGACGTCCCCGACAACCGCCGGTCTACCGCTACTACGACTACTCCAGCCTCTGGGTCTCCCTTCATTGACTTGTTGGCCGAGCATTCTAGTAATGCTCGAACAGCCTTGCTCAAGCGGCACAACTCAGCTGATCACTCCGCCGCTTATTCCGGTTCCTGGCCGTCGAGAACCCGGCCGGATGAATCTCCGGGAGAAAAACCTTTATCTTTAGCTAATTATCTTGATGGGCATTCCACTCATAATTATTATACTTCGTCAACGACCACCCCCTACCGTAATCATCAGGTTTGTTACTTCTATTACTTGTATGTCATTATTCTATTATTACTTGCTATCATAAAATTAAAAAAGGTAGATTCTACGGTACCCATAAGTTATCATACTTTTGTCCACATAAACCAATTCAATGAGAATGTAACAATTGAATTATTTAAAAATGATAAGGTGATGTGGTCCAATCAAATGAATGATAGGTACGGTACCCCATATTTTAGAAAGGTACCGGAATTGTCACCATTAAAAAAACGTACTTAGTCTTCCCATATATTTTTTGTCCAATATATATGGAAATATCCTTCCCTTTTTCAATTATAAAAGCGAAAAGGTCTTTTTCGTATCATAGGTTATTTCCAGCGTTTTTGTTCAAAGATTTTCGATTATACGAAGTATTACGGAGGGAGTATATACCACGGAGTATAATTTAATAAAGATTAAACAATCAATCCATATATAACTAAATTATAGAGAGTGTACAATTTTATATGTCTATTGAAGTTTGATTGATGTGGTTTTGTGTGGTAGATGTTTGACTTATGTGTATTTTAACTATCAAGATGGAGGGAGTATATACTATGGAGTATAATTTTAATAAAGATTAAAGTATCGATCCAAATATAACTAAATTATACGGAGTAGAAGTGTACGCGATTTTATATTGTCGTGGTCTGATTTGTTGAAGTTTGATTAATGTGATTTTGTGTGGTAGATGTTTGGTCTATGCGTATTTTATCACTATGAAAATCTAATATGATGTGGTATTTGATTTAAACCTAGTCCAGTTTGGTGTGCTTTTGTTAAATGTCCCACACCGGAAAATTGAGAAGCACTAGAGTGATATATTAAGCTTCGGGCTACTTCTCCTATCAGGTTGACCTTTTAGGATGGAACCCCGAGTCTTAATAGCTTTGTTCAGATCTGAGTTGTTCTCGTCTTCAACTAAAATAAGTAAAAACATTCCTAACCCAGTTATGCTTTGCTTAATTGTTTTACTGCCTCTATAATTTTGGCTGGACCCTTTAGATGGTTTTTCCAATTTATCCACCTTTAAAGATGTAGAGATATGTTTAAAATGAGAAGGCGAATTAATTTATTTGTCACAGTTCACAGTACACGTTTTTATACCCATCAGTACACGCATAAGTCTGTGAGAGTTATTTTTTGTCTGTGAAGCGCAGTCCACAGACAAAAGCTAGCTTGTTTTGTCTGTGGAAAATTTCACAGACAAAACAAGCCAACTTATGTCTGTGGACTGCGCTTCACAGACAAAAAAATATTCTCACAAACGCAAGCGTGTACTGATGAGTATAAAAATGTGTACAAAAGGAAATTTTGAAATTTAAATAATCATCCAACAAGGCAAAACTTATGAAACCTGAAGAAGTAATTATCTTACTGTTTGTTGTTTTCAACCTTGTACAGGTTGTCGAATTGAGGGTGTCACTTCATTGTAAGGGTTGTGAAAGGAAAGTAAGGAAGCATCTCTCCACAATGGAAGGCAAGCTAGCATTATATTATCATACTGTTTTACGTAGTATATATATATTCCATATTTTTTTAATTTTAGTATGTATAGATATGAACCAAATTTAGAATATTTCTTACAAGGTAATCACCAATACTCTTTCCTAGCTTAGAGCATCACCATTCCTAATCCCGTAAAAATCACACTTTCTAGCATTCTTGCCTTTTAAATATTCTTACATAACTAATTTTTAAATAATCTCAAAATCCATTTATGCCTCCCAACCATCATCTTAAAATAATCCGCTTTTTTCTCCGTCCGACATTAACGTATTACACATACTTTTCAAATAATCTTAAGATAATCCGGATTCATATTTTGATCCCGGATTATTCTAGCAAATAATCTCATTAAGAGCATCTCCAATGGTAAAATGTGCACGGTGCACATGTGGCATGAGAAATAACCACATAAATATTAGTAAATAAATTCTATCTCTCCTTATTTGAATGATTTTATATAGTTTTGGTAAGTTTTTCTCCACAATATCAAGGAGACCGTCTAGATGTTGACATTGTTGTTGACATTGCAGGGAAAAACTTACCAAAATTGTATAAAATCATTCAAATAAGAAGAAAGATTATTTATTTGCTAATATTTATGTGGCTACGATGCATGCCACATGTGCACCGTTCACGTTATAGCATTGAAGATGCTCTAATTGCGAGGTTACCCGCCTAGTGGGATTTCTCGAGTTCGAATCCCACTAGGCACATAAGGGATTGAAACTCAATGAAATGAGTTTCAGTCCTGATTACTTCAGGCTCCCCCAGCCTCATCCTCCAGCCCCCCCGAAGTCAAAGAAAATAAAAAACTAACTTTTGAAAAATGTTTCTCCTATTAAATTTGTCTCATTTTAGATTTTCAAAATCCCATTTCTATAAATAGTTTTTTTTACTTATAAGGATGGAATATATTATGCTCTAAGTTGTACGTTTACAAATGTAAAAATGAAAATGTTGCAATAAAAAAAAGAACGAATGCATTGTATCACTAGTGTAGATATATGTAAAATACCGGACTATATGTGTGTACTCCATAATATTAAAAAACAAGACAATTCAATAAATCCAATGCACTATATTTTCTAAACGAAAAAAAAATATGGAAATTCTAATAAGAGAGATTAAGAAATCAACATGACAACCTATTAGAGTCATATTATCAGAATATAATATTGTTAAAAATATTCGTGAACCAATAATGATATTATTAAATCAAATCTACAAATAATATGTACGTATTAAAAATAAAGTACACTGTATATATTGGAACAGTTTACTGACTACTAGACCAAATTTTATTTGTCTTTGTGTACTGTGTTGAATTTTGATTGGTGTTTTTATTGCGGTATCCTTCCGATCGAGTTCCAAGGACTAATGAATGGTACAAGTAAAATATGATTGATATGTGATAATTGATACGGAGTATATAAACTTTATTTGTTATTAACTACATTATGTGATTCTGACGTTTTGCAATTACATTATTTGCAATTTTAGTTTATTGTTATAAATCGTGTAATTTAATCACTTGCAAATTTGGTCATGTAATTAATACGGAGTAAATATTTGCAATTTAAGGATTTTTCCAACAGAAAGTACACTTTTCAGCAGAAAAAATCGACGTCGGCCACATCTGTTTAATTAGTACACTATCGACAGAAAATGTACTCTTCAGAGAGAGTCCTAAAATCACTAATATTTTTTGTTACGAGACCAAATTTGCAAGTGACTAAAGGTACATGATGAAAACTACTAATTATCCTTATTAATTTCAAGTGTATAATCCTGGTGGGAAGAGGCCATTATAGTGTCTGAAATTAGTACTATCACTTAAAATCACTTTTTCATTTGGTATCATGTGATGATGTCAATATTTTTCTTGAGGGTGGCATGGTCTGAGACGTTTTAGTATTTTATGGAACTTGTACTTCTACCATGACTATTGAGACTGTACAATTTGGTTTGATTTTAGAACCAAAACTATTAGATGTCGTTTCCCTTTTAAATAGTGCAATACTCCCTCCGTCCCAAAAACAACTTCCCACTTTCCTTAAATGGATGTCTCAAAATTAACTTCACACTTCAATACTTTTCTTATTTGGCAAATTATCTACATCAAAAAAGTGATAAACAGTGTCAAATAGTGTTTAAACAGTGCCAAACAGTGTTTAAACAGTGCAAAACAGTGCACTCTACAGTAAAGTCAAATTTATTTTCTAAAAGTGTGTGAAAGTCAAACCGAGATGTTGTTTTCGGGATGGAGGGAGTATATTAAAGAAAAATGCTTAGTGTACATAACTTGTACACAAATTGTACACAAAACCCTCATAGTTGCCTGTGTACACAGGCAATTCGTTTAAAAGATGCATAATTTCATGTCAAATTGTCTGTGTGCACAGACAGTGTACACATTTTGTGTACAAGTTGTGTACACCAAGAATGATCCTTTCTTCATCCCTCTTCTCCTCTCTCGCTTCTCTCTTCCTTCTCTCTTCTTCCTCTCCCCCTTCTCTCTTTCCTCTTTACCCAATCTCTTATAAAATTCTCAACAACAAAAAAATTATCTTCTTCATCCTCCTCTTTCCTTCTTCATCCTCTTTTTCTCTACCTCTACTTAACAATTTTTTTTCATTATTTGCACAAAATCAACTTATTCATCTTATTTCATATATTTTTATTATGTTTCTAATTTTATTGAAATTAATGTAAATTGATTACACATCCAACTACATCCTTCATTTGGATGTATATAGAAAATTGAGTTTTTGTTCACCCAGACAATTAAAATTGATCACACAGACAACTAAAGTTGATCACACAGACAACTATTGTCTATGGAACGCACAACTATTGTCTATGTGGTAAAAGTTGTCTGTGCACACAGACAAATAATTGTTTGTGCAACATGAAAATATTGTCTGTGCACACAGGCACTGCACATATATTGATTGATTTGCAAGCTGATGTCAGTGTTAGGCAGCTGTCAGCGTACTTTTTACAAAAAGTAAATGTTTGTGGACACAAACAAAAGTTGTTTGTGTACACAGACAACTCTTGTCTGTGACCACAGACAATTCCGTACCAATTGTCTGTGACCGACATTTTGTGTACAAGTTGTGTACAACTTGTGTACCCCTAGCATGGTTGATGAAGAAATGAGATTTTTTTTTTTGCTTTTATTCCATGTACAACTTGTGTACATGGTGTGTATACACGGCTTAAATTTAAGATGCTAAACGGCCTAAACCCTACACGGCTACACCACATGGTAGTCTCCTTTATCCTACTCGGGTTAGTTAAAAATCATAATGTTAAATAAAAGAATTTTAGAACACACAAACAATGTCATAAAATTAGAATTCATGTAATCAAGTTGCAATTCTTAGTAGTACGTGGAAGCTGTAATACTAGAAAGAGTATTGTTGGTGCAATTTACGGAGTACTTCGTATTAATTAGAGATATCTTCTTCAGTCTTCATCTCTATTCGTAGTTAAGCTTTCAAATTTTGCATTTTTTCCTTTTTCATTATATTTTGTGAAGACCAATCATGTAATGGTTTGGAACCGGTAAGGTTCAGTTGTGGATACAATATTTAAAGATTCATTAGATCGAAACCCTATTTTTCTGTTCGGTACCATGGTTATTCGCTACCCTTGTTTTGTTGTGTTAAGAACAATACTTTTAGAGGTAAGACGACACTGTTTTAGTTTTCTACTACTTCTCTACTATATTATGAGTAAAATATACTACGAAGTACGTATGTTGTAGTACTAGACAAACTATTGTTCATGCACTACTTTTAATAATTCTCTCTGTATATAAATAACATATGCATAAAACAGGAGTGACATCATTCAGTATCGATTCGGTCTCAAAGAAAGTGATAGTGATCGGAGACGTGAGTCCCTTGGGAGTACTGGCAAGCATTTCTAAGGTTAAGAGTGCAGAATTGTGGCGGTAGTTATGATATATAGACGACATCTTCATCTTTGCATCATCTGTTTTCTTTTTCTTTTTTTCTTTTACTGTTTTTTTGCATCTGTTAGCTAGGATTAGCTTAACTAAATCATTAGATGTTTCCATAAAATATTTGTGTTTCTCAAACCGATTGTATACTTGGTGTCAAAACAAGACCTATTGTATACTTCTTTGAGTTCTTTACTACTTACAATAGTGTTATGTTTATACTATTCACATATTCCGTTTTAAATATGAATCTCTTACTCCATTCAAATTTTTTTCTATATCAAGAGAGTCCAATTATACGTATGTTGACCAATATACTGATTCATGGTGGTGCATACGGGTGGACCTAGTCCGGCATTCTTGACTGATTCAGAACCGAGTCCCGCACTGTGCGGGACCGGATCGGGCCCGTTTGTACAATTCTGGTCGAAGATCGGGTACACGACAGGATGTATATATAGGCTGGGTACCCCGTCCCAAATCTTAAACTTGGGGACCGAACCGGTCGATCCCAGTCCCGAATTTGGTCCCGACCGATTAAAATTTAATTATATTTAGCCTTGGAACAAGACAAACATTTAAAAGAAAAATAGCGGGACCAGACCGCCCAAGTACCCGGAACTCACCCAAAACAAGATTTAGGGGGTGTTTGGATCTGATTCTCAAAACTAATTTTGCTTCTTCAGGGAGCAGAAGCAGAAGCCGGAGTGTAAAAAAAAGCAAAAGCTGGGTGAAAACTGAATTTGATTTTACTTCTACTTTAAAAAAGAAGCAGAAGCAGAATCAGAGCCCGTTTGGAGAACTCTGTTTTCGGCTTATCAGGCTTATCAGCCAGCTTTTTCACCAAACACGTAACTTTTACTTTCGCGCGCTGAATTGTGTAATAAGCCGAAAAAGTAAGGTTGGAGTTACTTTTCTGGCTGTATTGGCTTAAGTTACTGTAGAGGACCATTTTAGCTATTTTTACATATAATTTTTCTTTAATTTATTAATAAAATATATTTTTAAAATATTTTTTTCTTAAATCAGCAGAATCAGCCAAAACAGCCACTCCAGCCAGAATATCATAATTTTCAGCAGAATCAGCCAAAACAGCCGATTTTGGTGCTACCAAACGGGTTCTCAGTTTCAAACACCCCTTATACAAGTCAGGCATGGTTTGCAAAAATGGAGGATGGACGGCCTCGGCCCAGAACTAGGACCGGGCCAACCTGCCGGGTCCATCCCTAGTGGTGCATATTTCTCTTGAACATAAAGCATAATTCGCAATGGTAAAATATACGTAGTACTACGTAGTATACTTATCAAAAGTCACTATGGTCACTCCTTTCCATAAAATTCAATTTACTTTAGAAAATGTGATCGTATTTTCTATTCATAGTTGTACGTGTACAAATTCACCCTTTAATTTTTCGATTTCATTTTTTTCTTCTTTCTTTTTTTGAATTCTTTTCTTCTTTTCCATCAAAATATTAAAATTTTAATTACAATTTTACTTTTTATAACTTCAACTTAAATTACAACTGAACGTATTTTTTCTTTAATATTTTTTTAAATCCACACTTTTTTTGTAATATATTTTTTCATATTCATACTCTTTTTTCTAAAATATATTTCTAAAATAATATATATTTTATATTTTTATTTCTTTTATACTTCCTCCGTCCCCCTTATATTGTCCCGTTTTACCTTTTCGGGAAATCTCACTAAAATTGTTTCATACCATATTTGGTAAAGTTTGCGTGGCTCTAAAACATTCTTATTTTATGCTTACTTTATCAATTAATATGAATCACACAAACTTACTTTTCTCAATAATCGTGTCATCTTCTTCTGTCTCAATATAAGAGGGACGGAGGTAGTATGTTTTAGTGGTTTGTATGGCATTGAGTTTGTTTATTTCAATCTTCATTTGATAAAACATGATATTACATTATCATATGTTCAATTTACATTTTTATGTGTGCGATTTACAATTATACACGATTTGTAGAGTTACATTTCATAACATATGAAGTTACATCTTTCTATACGTGATTGACATCTTCATATGTGCGGGCTACGACACTTTCTTAAGCGCAGTTTACATTTTCATTTGCGCGAGTTACTTTTTTGTATATATGCGCGAGTTAATTACTTTTTGACTTGCTTCAACAACTTACATTTTGCATACACGCGATTTACATTTTGACTTGTCTAAAATTATATTTTGCATTCATGCGATTTACATTTCATTCATGAAAGGCGACAGAATGACCACGGTAGTGAGTAACGAGAGTTACACTTCAAGGAACGATTTACATTTGTTGCTAACTGAGATTACATTTCATTATATTGCATTGCAAGTTACCTTTCAACACACGAGATTTACGGTTCACGCGCGTTTTTAAGCAGAGTTGAAAGCTAAATGACATTGTTTAGATGTGGGAGTATGGTGATCAACATGAGACGTTGTTTCCACAATATAACAATTGTTTTAGCAGTAGCTAGATAGATTACTAGCCCGTTGCTATTACTCAAATCATATTGGCCGATTCTACTGAAATTGATGAAAAATTGGATGAAGTGGCAAGATTAGCTGATTCTGCTCATTTATGCAAAATTTATATTTAAAATATATTTTATCAATAAAATAAAGAAAAAGTTATATGACAAACAGCTAAAATGATCCTCTACAATAATTTTAGCCAATACAACCAGAAAAGTAAGTTCGTCCTCACTTTTTCTTATTATTGTATTACACAATTCAGCGCGTGAAATCAAAAGTTATGTGTTTGGTGAAAAAGATGGCTGATAAGCTTGGATAAGCCAAAAAAAATAGGGTAATAATTTGCACGCTGATTTGTGTAATAATAACTAAAATAAGTAAGTCAAAGTTACTTTTTTGACAACATTGACTGAAGTTACTGTAGATGGTCAGCTTAGTTAATTTGTTTCATTTTTTTCTTTATTTTATTAATAAAATATATTTTAAATGTAACTTTTTCATAAAATTAACAAAATCATCCAATCCCGCTAATTCAGTTAGAACTTCACAAATTTAAACATAATCAACCGATTCAATCAACTCCAGTGTTACCAAAGAGATTCTAACTATTAGTAAGTAGTAAATTACGGAGTAATTATAAACACTTCGATTAACCCATCGAATCTAAACACCTTGAATCCTTGATTATATTGAGCAAGGTATTTCATATTTGCTGATCCCAAAGCGTTGCTCCTCTCTTCTTTGTCGTGGGATTTGCGCCAAGGACTCTGTCGTGCCGCAGAGGATCCGTTTCCCTATTTTTTCCAAAAGAATGAAATACTACCTTCATCTCTTAAAACTTTACAAGTTTGACCGACACAGAGAATAATAAAGTAAAAATGTGTGGTTGACGTTTGTGCAGAGGGGAGAGAAATAATATGAAACACAAAATAATTGATTAAAAGGAAAAGTGACAAAATTTTTGGGACATTCTAAAAAGTAAAGATGACAAAGTTTTAAGGGATGGAGAGGTATACACACTAAAAGCATATCCGGCGGACTTTGCGCACCTCCAAAAGTGCTGGGCGCACCACACTTTCTTCAATACTAGACATATTTGGCCTCTTCCTTTTAATTTGCTCTCGTGACTGTGCCTTTTAATTTTATCTTTTTTTGACAAGGCCTTTAAATTTTATCTACTCCGTATTTATTATGTTATTATGTACTCCGTATGCTTTCAAAAAAAAACACTAGACATGGTTTGCTTTTACTATCAGTCCAATTTGTAATCTAACAATGATGCATAATGATGACAATACTTAAAAAAATATAATTTTTTGTCAGTACTATTTATAATACTTTAATATTACAAATTATAATTATAGTTATATGAATACATAGTTTTTAAATTAGTAAAGTAATTTAAAATTGCTTACTTCTAAATTTGTACAAGACAATTTATAACTACTTAATTATCTTATTCCAAAAACTATTTTGTTTTTAACGATTTAGTTTAGTTAGTTATACAAATAATAATTATTAATTATAGTAATATCTTTTGGGAACTTTTTATTTCAAATTATCTTACTACTTATAAAAACTATGTATTTATATTTTTTATAATAATAAAAATTGCCACGTAACAAGAAATTGTATGCGATGTCAATTGTAATTGAAAATCATACTGCCGTGTTAACTTATACGCGTATTAAACTAAACGATTTTAATAGAAAACTCCGTAAATGAAAAGGTCAAAATAGTCATAGTGTGGTTACATAATTAAAGTAATATCAAGGGTGCGCCTAGCAACCCCAAAGCATATTGTCTTGCACTGTAATTAATTGCGATCAGTGATCAGAAGTCACAACCTCTAGTCTATTACGTACGGAGATGTAAAAAACAACAAGGGTCTTTTGATTTAGAACACCTACTTTTTGAAAAAACTATGAGCCCGTTTGGAGAACTCTGTTTTCGGCTTATCAGGCTTATCAGCCAGCTTTTTCACCAAACACGTAACTTTTACTTTCGCGCGCTGAATTGTGTAATAAGCCGAAAAAGTAAGGTTGGAGTTACTTTTCTGGCTGTATTGGCTGATGTTACTGTAGAAGACCATTTTAGCTATTTTTACATATAATTTTTTCTTTAATTTATTAATAAGATATATTTTTAAAATATTTTTTTCTTAAATCAGCAGAATCAGCCAAAACAGCCACTCCAGCCAGAATATCATAATTTCAGCAGAATCAGCCAAAACAGCCGATTTTGGTGCTACCAAACGGGCTCTATAGTAACAACTTTACAGCTAAGCCTTAATTCTTTGACAATCGTCGCCTGTTTCATAATGCAATGATGAAATAACTCAATAATAATCGACCTTCATTCTTTTATTTTCTACTCGGAAAATAATTATGTATTTCTTATAGTGACGTAATTTTTTGTTTTACGGGCTAAATTTTGAAATAATAAGAAAAAGTAAGGTTGAGCTACTTTTTTGACTGTATTGGCTGAAGTTACTGTAAAATGTCATTTTAGCTATTTTTCATATAATTTTTTCTTTATTTTATTAATAAAATGTAATTTAAATTAATATTTTTCACAAATCAGCAAAATCAGCCACATCAGCCAGAACTTCATAAATTTCACCAGAATCAGTCAATACAGCCAATTTGGCTATTACCAAACGGGCTCTAATAAAACTCCGTATTATTGTTATTAAAGCATTGATTATTAAAGGAAAAATTGATTGTAATAATCCCAACTATTGGCGGTCCGCTTATAATAAT